ATCCCACATGTTGTGCATAAATTTAGTTGCATAGATAATATATTATAATTATATTTCATTTAAAATATGTTAGGGTCATTTGGTTATTACATTGTTGTATTAGGCACTATAGTCTCATATATTTTGAATGACTCTTACAAAAATGATGTCCGTAATTTGTATATAACGTAATATCTTATGATGTTTATTGAATGATATTATCTTCGATTGAGCAATTGGTAATTGGAATCAACTTTATTATAGTTAAAAATTTTGGCTCCGTTTTTTCTTTTTCATTAGTTCTAGAATATGCTTTTTTATATTAACTTAAAATATGGCACTATCTTAAAATAGACTGAGAATGAGATTTTTTTATATTTACTTAAAATACGGCACCATTTTCTATTCAATAGTAAAACTAACAAAAGTCGTTAAATATGTATTTTTATGAGGTTCAACATAAATAGACCACCACAAATGAGAATCCATATCTAATCATTTATCAATTAATTACATTAGATACTAATGTATACATAAAAATTACATTTAAAATTTTAAACTAATAGTAAAAAAATTTCATTATTTATTATGATAAAAAAATCTGTAAATCAAAAAATATACATGCTATTTAATTGCATACAAATTTTATGTATGGCTTATTCACAATACATTAAACCATATATAACCATATTAAACTACATAATTATCCCACTGCGCAACGCGCGGGCATTCGCCTAGTATACTTATAAAGGAAGCATTTTCCTTTCACCACATTCATTTGAAACTCACATGTATTTTTCCTTTCACCACATTCATTTGAAACTCCCATGACTTTTCAATTTCTTTCCAATAATATTATAAGTTGTTTAATAAGGCAAAATAAATATCAAACCTAAAGTGTAATCATATATAAACTAAATTTCAATATTAAAATAATATATTTACTTCTACTTATAAAGTTATGTTTTTTAACTTTTAACATATTATACTTAATTTATTAGTTTTAGTATATTGTTGGATGTAAACTATTATCATTTTAAATATACAATTTTGGAACAATTTGTATAAAATACTTCAATTATTAATTTAAATATAACATTACAGGGTCAACTTAAATATAAATTTTAGTTTAATTTAAACAACTCAAAAAATATTTTGTAAATAGTTAAAAGTGATAAATTGTAGTGTCTTTCTAATAATCATTATAAGTTGGTTAATAAAGCTAAATAAATATCAAACCAAAAGTGTAATCATAAATAAACCAAATTTCAATTTTAAAATAATATCTTTACTTCTACTTATAAAGTTACGTCTTTAACTTTTAACATATTATAATTAATTTATTATATTTAAAATATTGTTGTATGTAAACCATTTTCAGTTTAAAGCTACAACTTTTGAACAGTTTGGACAAAATACTTAAATTGTTGATTTAAATACATTACATTGTCAACTTAAATATAAATTTTCAGTCCACTTAAAAAACCAAAGAATATTTTGTAAATAGTTAAAAGTGATAAATTATAGTGATAAATGCAAAAACTAAATTGTAATCTCAATTTAACTAAAATATTTCCTAAATATATTTTTATAATGGTTTACAGTTTTCAAATAAGTAGCTTAAAATAACTTACAATAACAATAGTTAAAAATAACTTTATATAAATTATTATATTGTTACCTTTAAAATCAAAAAACAATGTTTGATGTTTTAAATAATTCTGAAGATAGAAATTAAAACATTAAGCAAATAAAATTTAAAAAGTTAATTAACAATAAAAACAACTATAAATAACATTAAACCATATATTATATTTAATTTTATTCATGTGTAACTCGCGGGTAGAAGTCATTCAAACGATTGAGATTATACAGTTATAATAGATGTATATATTATGATATAATTCAAAATAATAAATATATTATATCAATTTAGTATACAAATTATTATATCAAATTTAACAACAAAGTTATTGTCATATTTAAAAAAAAACATATATTTGTAAAAACTTCAACTATATAGGTCTTTCTGCGCAACGCGTGGGCATTCGCCTAGTTATATATATAATAAAGTTGTTTCGTAGTTAAACCCTATCAATTTCGTAGTCAAATTAAAAAAAAATTAAAAAAAAATGCAAAAATCGTAGATGGGATGAGAGGAAATCGCAGATGAACTTAGTTCCTCTGCGATTTTAGTCAGAGATGGGGGTATTTATATGGAAAAAATGGTAAATTACACCAATCGTCCCTCGTGCATATGCCTGAAAGCGTGTTTAGTCCCTATTTTCAAAAATTAACTCGGACCGTCCCTCGTTTGTTTAAAACTTGCACACTTCATCCCTTTGGATATAAAAAGACCATTTTACCTTTAATAATTTTTTTATTAATTTTCTTTTATTTATTTATCATTTTTAAATTAAAGAAAAAGAAAATAAAAAAACTTCCCACTAACCCACCCCTCTCGTTTCCCTTTCCCCTGTTTGCTTTCGTCCCCCAACTCCCTTAAAACAAAAATGGTGGACTACTCTACATCTCTCTGCTCCGGCGCCGATTCTCCTCCGTCTCTCACTACTTTTCCGGCGAGAGAAGCCGATAATGATAAGGTCTTGGTAAACGATTAAAGACATGGAAGATCGGAGTCACTCGTTGAGATCTAAAACCCCAAAATCTTTTACTAGACGACGATTGAAATTTGAAAATCTCTGATTTCAGACCGTCGACGTCGCCGGATTCACAAAAGGACATAACTTTTGCACCGGTAATCGTTCGCCGGAAAGGCTACGACTGATCGAAGGCGGACAACGTGTAACTTCGGCGTCACTGCGTGTGGAATTCCGTTGTTAAGACTCCCTAATTGAACTTTCACACCAAAAATCTGAAAATCTCTGATTTCAAACTTTAACTTCACCACCCAACACAACTTCATCCATCTCTGAAACCAATGCTTCGTTTTCCAAAACCGCATAAGATTCAGATGAGCAAAACACAACAACTTATGATTTTTGCATTAGGGATTTTGGTTTTGGATTTAAGTTTGAATTTGCAGGTTTGATTTTGGGTTTACATTTGAATTTGAGGTTTGATTTTGGGTTTACATTTGAATTTGAGGTTTGATTTTGGTTTTGGGTTTGAGTTGTAGATTGGATTTATGTTTCACATTTGAGTTGCAGCTTCGAGTTTATGGACAAAGATGGTGACCGGAGCTGCTACCAGACACTAAGTCTATGGACGGAGATGATGACCGGAGGTGGTGCCGGGAACCGGATTTATGAACGAAGATGATGATCGGGATCTTGAAGAACATTAAATGAATTAGAAAGGAAATAAAGAGATGAAATGGGTCATAATATTTATCTTTTTTTTTTAATTAAAAATAATAAGAACATTAAATTAATTGGAAAAGAAATACCAAAATGGCATAATAGTCATTTCAGGTATTGTAAGGGATGAAGAGTGCAAAATTAAATTAATGAGGGATGAAGTGTGCAAGTTTTAAACAAACGAGGGACGGTCCGAGTTAATTTTTGAAAATAGGGACTAAACACGCTTTCTGGCATATGCACGAGGGACGATTGATTAGGGGTGGAATTGGTACGGTACCAAATTTTTTTTCTTCAAACCGTGTACCGTACCAACTATAGTTGGTACAAGATTTTAGCTACGAGTACCGTACCAAGTGTACTTGGTACCAATTAATTTGGCTACCAACAAATTTGGTTGGTATATATTGGTATTTGGCATATACGAAATTTTTTAACTAATATGTACTATACATGAATATAAGTTGAATTTGTGGACATTTGGCCGTTGCTTCACTCGCTTCTGGTAGTATTTTTTTTAAACCACTAAAAGGATTAAAAGAGGTCCACACCTAGCAAGTTGCTAGAGGAAACAAATGGTAACAGTACAAGTACAAGGAATGAGAAGTTAGTATTCATTTTTAAGTTTTAGTGTATGTATCACTGATCTCGTGCACATCAAACAATAAGTATCAAGAAATTTGCCGGTCAATGTGTAAGTTTAGTAATTCTAAGACTTGTTAGTTGTTATTCTAATTAAAACATGAAGATATGAGAACTCATATATCTTTGTATTTATGAATTGATATATATATATATATATATATATATATATATATATATATTGGTTGGTACGGTACAACCGTGGTATTCAAAATTTCATACCGTTACTGTACCAAGACTATTTAATTGGCATGATATTACCAGCCAAACATATTGACTACCAAACAACTTGGCTACCGACTTAATTGGTTCGGTTGGTAACATGTTGGTTGGTTCTCTGTGGTATATATTTGCCAGCCCTACGATTGATGTAATTTTACCCAAAAAAAAAAACTAAAAAAAACTACCTGTGAATGTACAAGTCGCTAAAGCACATTCGTGCTTTAGCGACTTGTACGTTCGCAAATGAAATGCTAAAATCAAAGATGAGCTTAATCTATCTGCAATTTTCATGGTTATATTTGTAATTTGGATTTTTTTTTGGCTATTTTCCACAAAGTAATTAAAGAATTTGACTATATTTGCAATTTTCTCAGAGAGATATCAATTTTTTCTCTTCAGTTCTTTTGAAATATATGAAAATACAAACACATACCAGATTCTCTCTCGTTTTGATCAATTTTCTGTGCCTAGAATTTTGATTGTTCCTTTGAGAATTATTGTATGTCGAATTTTTCGTAACAAACACCGAACCAATATAAACCGAAACTACATTCACAAACCGCAAAATTGAGTCATTGAAAGACCGCATCAAACGGTCTTTAGAATGCAAAAATTGCACCTTGCGGTTTGCGGTTTGTTTGGACTAATCCGCACGAAACTGTATCATACTCGCCCATGATTATTATGCAAAATTATATTTTATTTGGTTATTTTATTAAAAAAGCTTTATAAACTCGGTTAGTTTACTCGATTTACCTAAGAAATCATTTAAAAAAAAAAAAAGAGGGACAAAGAAGTATTTTTCTTCTTTTATAGGATAAACACCGTAAATTCTCTCTTCTTCTTCCGCCTTACTTTCAAATTATTGGATCAAATCCCTTCGAATTAGGGTTTCGTTTTCGTTCTGAGAAAACAAATCTTCATTCTTACTTCATAGGGTTTCAAATTATCGGATCGAATCTTTCGAGTTAGGGTTTCGTTTTTTTCCTGAAGAAAATTCTCCGTTCTTTAAAGAAACAACTATGTACAACGGAATCGGATTGCAAACCGCTCGTGGTTCCGGTACGAACGGTTACATTCAGAGCAATAAGTTCTTTGTAAAGCCTAGGACAAATAAGGTGTTGACGGGGAACAGCGGCGGCTATGAGGCTGGACAGGGTATAGCCGGCGTAACTAGGAAACCTAACAAAGATATCCTCGAGCATGATCGTAAGCGCCAGATCCAGCTTAAACTTGTTGTTCTTGAAGATAAGCTCGTAGATCAGGGATATACCGATGATGAAATCGCTGAAAAGCTAGATGAAGCTCGTAGAACTTTGGAGGCTGCTTTGGCGTCAGAGGATGCCGGTGGTGCCACAGCAGTTGTGATGCACTCTGATCAGAAGTAATTTTCTTTTTTGCTTAATAACAGTTCATATATACTAATCCTCATTAGGGAATAAAATTCAATCTAGTGTGGGATGTCTTGTTGTGCGCTTTTGAAATATGTGATTGATTAGTTAGTTATCTATCTTGTTCTCCTATGCTAACTCACTCAAGTATGACGCGATTTGTTTGCTGCTTACCTTGATCAAGGTATAATTTAGACTATCTGCTTTTTATATTTCTGTGTGAAGTATAATCTACTGCTAGAGCATATGCTAAGATCATTTTCGACTGTTATAGAAGGTCTAAGAAGAATATATTTGAAAATGCATCTCTCCCTTCTTTCTCAATTAATCATGTTTTAACTGTGAATCAGTGAATGTGAAATGATCTACTATTAAATTCAAAGTCAATATCATGACATATGATTTTTAGAACATCAAAAGGTCAAGAACAATAAGTAGAAAGAAGATTTCATGTTTAAATTCTGAGATATGTATAGCAGCAGATACAAGTTAGATATAAAAAAGTTACAGGATATCAACTAATAGGAATCACAAGAGTACTATCTAGACTTAAATCTTTATCAACCATGAATAATAGCGCATAATTAAGATAAGAATTGTATAATAAAGTATTTAAATATATTTTTTAGATAATGTGTAGTTCCCTTATTATTTAAATTATTTTTGTGATTTCATTTTTTCATGTTCTTATCTCTTCTTGGACACTCTATTGTGTTGTCTTGCAGTGTTCATTAACATGTCTGCCGTTTCAAAATTTCAGTTATAATTCATCAGTAGATTTTTAATATATATATATATATATATATATATATATATATATATATTATTGTGGTGGGCATATTCTTAGTAATGATGAAGGAATAGTCAAGGGTTTGAAGTACAAAATTGTTAGGCTAGGTGTAAGCCATATTAACAATAAAAATGTTATAAAACACACAATGAATAACACAAATTTTCATATTAAACTTAGAAAGTCATAAAAACTTTAATATTGGTAGTTATAACCTCTAGCTCTTTAAAACATAATTATTAATTATAGAAACACATTCATCAGATTATCAAGAAGTCATTTTCCTCTTCCTTGATGCTGGACTTTTACCCTCATTTTTCAATTTCTTATGTCAACTCCAATTCTCTGTTATTGAAATATTCATCATCATTTTGGTTGTTATCCATTCATCACCATAAATCTTTATGAAAATACATCCCTTTTGGAACTGATAAAGCACGTTATAGCAGAAGTTTCTGTATTGATCGCATATGACAAATTCATTTATATTTGGGAAATGAAATCCAGTTTAAGGATTGAGAATAAGCTTCAGAAAGCAGATATCCCTTTCAATCTGTGGAGAATATCTTTGTTTATAAATCATAATGTTATCAGTTATCAGATTAGATAGAAGATGCTATATCCAAAAAAAATCTGTCATCTGTCAATTAATCCCTGAAAAGTGTGGTCAAAACCAAGGTTCTCTATTAAACAACAAAAAGAACCATTTTTTAAAATGTTTTAATGTCTTTTTGTTTTTGGTTGTTTAGGGTTTCAGACACTCAGACTCATCAAGTTGCAGCACGTAAGCAGAAGCAAATGGAAGCTTTAAAGAATGCTCTTGGAATAGTTCATGAGGATGAAAGGAAGGAGAAGTATGCACTTGTTTCTGATGATGAAAAAAGCAACGATGATGATGAAGCCAAAAATAACGATGGCAAATTTGAAAAAGATATCAAAGTTGGTAAACATGGGATTGATGAACTCAAAAATTACAAGAAAAAAACAAGCAAAAAAAGAGAGGTTTCTTCAGATAGTGAGAGTGACACCAATACTAATAGCAGTGAAGAAGAACCTGTGAAAGTGAGTGGGAAGAAACATCAGAAAAGTAAGCCAAGAGTTGACTCTGAATCTGAATCTGAATCTGAATCTGAATCTGATGTTGATGTAAGAAAAAGCAAGAGGAAATCATCAAGTAATAAGCATAAGAAAGATAGAAAACATGAAGATTCAGATTCTGATGAACTCCCAAATTTTAAAAGTGAAAAGGGCAAGCAACTTTATTCCAAGAGCAGGCGGCATGATTCAGATGATGATGATGATGACTCTGAATATGAAGAAAGACAAAGGGAGGAGAAGAGGAAAGAAAGGAAGATAGAAAAAGACGTTTCTACCCCTATTAATGATAGGTGGGATGGAGGTGGTAGCAAGCATGATGATAGAGAAAGGAGATATGAGAGGGTGGGAAGAAGGCGTCATGACAGTGATGACGAGGCGTCTGATAAAGACATAAAACACCACAAGAAAGAGGTAGTTGAGAGGGGTGGAAAAAGAAGGAATCATGATGTTGAAGATGTAAGGGGGAAAAAAGAGAGAGTTGAAAGTGGTGGAAGGAGGAGGCATGATAGCGATGATGAGGATTATGAAAGTAAAAAGACTAAATTACCCCTGGTTAAGAATGTAGTGAAGAAGAAGAGTAGTGATGATGAAGATGAAGATGATGATAAAGATAGGCGGGGTGTAAAGCACAAAAGAGATGAAGAAGATGAGGAAAAGGGTAAGGGTAGGGGGCGTCATTATTCAAAGTATAGCAGAGAGAATGAAGAAAGGGAAGTTGAAAGGAGGGGCGGAAGAAGGGATCATGATGTTGAAGAAGATGTAAGAGGGAAAAAACAGAGAGTTGAAAGTGGTGGTGGAAGAAGGCAGCATGATGATGTTAAAGAAGATGTAAAGGGCAAAAAAGAGAAAGTTGAAATTGGTGGAAGAAGGATGCATGGTAGTGATGATGATTCTGACATAGATGTGAGACGTACAAGTACAAGAGAGAAAGTTGAAAGGGGTAGAAGAAGACATGATGATGATGATGATGAACCTATGATGAAGATGATGCCAAATAAGGATGAAGAAAAACATAAGAGTAAGGCTAGTGATGATGAGGATGAAGATGAAGAGAAGAGGCGAGGTGTAAAGCACAAAAGAGGAAGGGAAGAAGATGAGGAGGAAAAGGGTAGGGAGCGTCATTATTCAAAATATAGCAGAGAGCGTGAAGAAGAAGAAGAAGAGTATAGAAGCAGGAGAGGTGAGAGGGATCACTCAAAGAGAAGCAGAGATGATAGATATGAATATGATGGTGGCAAGCATCATCATGCAGGACGTTCCAGGGGCACTGATCGATTGTGAGGTTGGTTCTTCTTGACATCTTTCAATATTTTTTTTTTTTAAAAACTACACTCTCTTTGCAAATTCAAGTTTACTACGTAAGGAGTTGTTTATTATTATTTTTATTTTTTCATTGAGTTCTGTTTTGATGGATTAATTATACTTGCTTATGTTTTTTTTCTTCAGGTTGCTTGTAGTTGTAATGAATTTACATGATGGTTGCTTGGATGTATTAATGCATGACAGATATTGTAATGTGTGAGTGAGTGAGTGAGTTTCAAACACTTGGCTTCCTTTCTGCACTAAAGATTTATCAGAGTCTTAAAGCTTTTGTTTTATTCAGTTTATGTAATATGTAATGATGATACCTACCATAGGCCACTTATATTTTGTTGTGGTTTATTTATTTACTTTAGCCTTTTGGAACAAATATAAGTGGGGGAATAATTGAATGCATTTGTTCGTTTTTAGTTGGGTTAGGTGGGTCGACTACAGACAGTGGGATTAACTCCCATAACCACTCAACAACTCCCCCATATTCTTACTTTTTTTTTTGGTGTCTGGTTGCAATAAATACAACACTATATTTAATAAAGGATGACAAGTTACATAATGACAATTAGCTAGAAATTAGTAATTTTGTCTTATAAAGGCAAATTATGTGAAAATTATTATATTTTTGGTCATTGTAGTTTAACCATTATATTTTTAGTATTTTAGTTTCCTCCTATGACCTATCTATGTTTTGACAATTTTTTTCTAAACAAATCTATACAAATAGTCTTTGAGGTTTCCTACCACAAAAGAAACCCAGATGGTCCCTATGATTTTTACAAAAGAGACTACAAATGGACTCTATGGAAGTTTTGTTATACGGATGGTCCTTTAGTTTTAAAAGTCTTGCACCTAGGAGTATTTCAAATGTTTAACCTATACTATGACTTAGTATTATTAACACATCTTTATTCCATTATATTTAATCTTTAATTAAATGACGGTTAAGCTCTTCCAATAACTTTTTCTTTAAATTTGATTGATCTATCCTTATCTATTTAAAATACTCTTACATAATCCCTTCCATTTAGTAATTTATTTTTAAACACATATTATATTTTAATACAAACTATTTTAATAAAGATTTATCATTATAAATTTATATTTTATAAATAAAATATCATTAAATATTTGATAGAATTAATTAACTAGTAATAAATAAATAAATTAAAAACTAAAATATATTTGAGTGGTAAAATAAAATATGAGTAGAAGACGAGGGGTTGAATGTATAAATGATTAAACTATATTGATCGCTAAATATGTATTGAGTGGTAAATATGTATTGAGTGGTAGGGAAACGAACTTTCAACTTTGTTCATATTTAGTCACTAAACTTTTTTTCATTATCTATTTGCCACTGAACTACTAAAATTGTTCACATTTTACCCTTATGACCGGTTGTTACCGGTCATAAGGGTAAAATATGAACAATTTCAGTAGTTCAGTGACAAATAGATAATGAAAAAAAGTTAGGGACTAAATGTGAACAAAGTTGAAAGTTCGTTTCCCTCTCAAATTATCCTAATATTATACCCCGAAAAAGGTATAAAAAATGAATTATTTCATCACGCTCCTTGAGTTGCTCCTAACTATTTCTAGTTATTAAGGGCTATTCAAAAAATATTTTGTTTTTAGTTCATAAAGTTATATCAATTTTAGACACCTAATCTAACATTATTGGCTACCAATAGGGTGTTTTGATTCTATCTGAATATCGATGCTCAACTTCATGTTTGAGCTGATGCAAGTTAGCTTGAAATCTTTATGAAGACGACATCCTTAATATAAATCCAATAGTATTGATAATAGATTTAAAATTGATGTTGCTCCTTAGTTTCATTAAAGAATCATCTTCTTTTCCTCTCTCAGATGTTGTTGGTTAGTTCGTTGGGCAGTTTCAGTTTATATTTGGCTCTGTGTGTTTCCTGTACAAAACTAGTCAAAAAAAGCTATTTTGTGTATGTTTAAAGTAAAAAATACCATATTGTTCTTTATTGTTTTTTATTCTTTAATGAAAATAAGATGCTTTAAACTCACAGACAAATTAATACTATACCATTTTATTTTTAAAATACAACCGTTAAAAATGAAAAAAAATAAAATAAATTTTTTTTAACTAACGAGGGAGAATTCCTATAATAACTTTTTACATACGGGGCTACTTTTGAAACTGTAATATAATATGGACCATTTATGTATCTATATATTTGACGGTATGTATGTTTTCAACTATATGTATGTATATGTTAACACAAGTTACATAAAAAAAATTAAAAAGAACAATAATATTAAAAATACTTCTAAATGTATGTTGTGTGTAACATGAAAATTTCGATATCCTTTTTAATAGTAAATATATTAATATGATGTATGTCAATACATGGAGTATAACAATATATATAATGTATCAATGTATGTATGTATTCTTTTATAAACAACGTATATGGTTTAATGTATGTCAGTTTATATGTTGCATAATTTCATAATACAAAATTCATACATATAATATTAGGATAATTTTTATACACATATAATATTGTATAGTTTTATAACATAAAACTTATACATATAATATTGGTTTCGTTTTTCGTTTTTTATACATTTTTCGGGGTATAATATTTGGATAATTTGAGAGGGAAACGAACTTTCAACTTTGTTGACATTTAGTCACTAAACTTTTTTTCATTATCTATTTGCTACTGAACTATTGAAACTGTTCACATTTTACCCTTATGACCGGTTGTTACCGGTCATAATGGTAAAATGTGAACAGTTTGAATAGTTCAGTGACAAATAGATAATGAAAAAAAGTTTAGTGACTAAATGTGAACAAAATCGAAAGTCCATTACCCTTTCAAGTCATTATCCCTAAAAATAAACAAAAAAGCTATTTACTCAAATGACAATAAGTGCTCAATATAAATAAATAAATTGTAATAAGCTTTTAAAAAAACTCCTATTGAAGATGCTCTAAATCTCTTTGCCTTTGAAGGGTTAAGTCCATCTGATATTATAAATATATTTTTTTAATAATATGTCGTTCAAGAAAAACAAAACACCCCTCCGTCTCTCCTTAAAAACTTTAATCCATGAAGATCCATGTGCATAATCTCTCTACTATAGCTCAAAACTAGTTCGGCATAGATAAAAATATCAATTTTGAGTGATTTTAAGTTATGATGGTTAAACCACAAAAAATTACTAAAATACAGTGTATGGAATTATGTTCATACGAGAATGATAATTATTGTTTGAATGCAGAATAATTATGGAGTGTTTCTAATTAATTTTGAGCATTTAAAACCTTTATACATTAATAAGATTTAATTGTTCGTGAAAATTAATTACGATTCTCATCATAACCATTGATTTTTTTGATATGACGTACTTCATGTAAAGAGAAAAAGTACTTCATATAACAATATAAAGAAAAATAAAATTTGACACCCAAAATATATTATCTTTGATATACGGAGATTGTGACAAATTTATATATTATTTTGTAGATAAATCCTTATGGGGTTGAGTTTGTCCTGTAAATGAGCTTGAACCCGATATGCTCGCTGAAATATTGCGAGTAGGCTTCTACTTAATTCGTATGCTGTTTCCAAAAAAAATGAGAGAGTTTCAATGATATATTTAGATTTATACAAAAATATTATCTAATAAAATCATGATGAAAAAAATAGATTAAGCAACTTAAATTAATTATAAAAATAAAATAATAATAGTTAGATAATACTTTAAAAAATAATATATTTACTATAGTAGCAAATTGTTATTAATGAAATCGGTTGTAGTTACGTTACGAATTGTTTCCCAAAATGTTGGTTTAGAAAATGGGAAATTGTTAGATGGATTTCTAACAAGGGAATTAGTGTGAAATAGTTAAGTTTCAATCGAATGTGTTTTTATTCATCATTGGTTGTATCATCATTTAGGGTATTATATAAGCTAGAGTTGTGTTTACTTTTCATCTGTGTATTAATTATCTAATCGAAGCATATATTATTTGAAATTTAAACCCCCTTTGTGATTTCCTTTTAGGATAAACCAATAAGTTTTATTTACTAAGTTGATAAGCATGCTAATTTACTTTATTAAAATTTTGAACCATTTATTTAGAGGTTCGACTCTTTATGTTTTTACATATCTTAGCATAAAATTGATAATAACAAAACATATTAAAAAATGTATAATTACCAATTTATTAACTAGATAAATATTTACTCCTCTATTTTCTTTCTTTACGTGTACAAAACAAAGTCCATAACCAAATGAAAATTTAATGAATTTATGATCATTACCTTATGCACTCTTCACATAAATGAAGACTAAACGGACAAGAAAAGTTTTCCTATGCTTATGTCAATTGTCATGTAAAGTTAAAAAGAAAAGGGATGAAAATGAATACTGAGAAATAGTCAGGGACTATTTATGAAACTATAGTTTTTCCATTTTGAATTCAGAAGAACACATCTTGACCGATTTGTACATTGTGCATCAAAAGATCTCATCATATATTCACCGACTTTTCCCCTAAATTTCTCCCCTAATCGGCCACCCAATCTCCACCGTAATCAAACCCTAACCACCACCATCACCATCACTGGTAGCGTCATCATCAAATCAGCAATCTATACAGAGAGAACAATCGCAAGCACAAGGATTTGAAAAACAAACATGAGGCCACCAAAGAAGACGATCCACGTGATATCGTCATGGGTGCACCGGCAACCACCAAAGGTGAAAGCTTTTCTCGCCGTAGTCGCCGGCATGTTGGCCTTGGTGTTGTTACGTGTGATCGTGCACGATCATGACAATCTTTTCGTTGCTGCCGAGGCTGTTCACTCCATCGGAATCTCCGTTCTTATCTATAAGCTTATGAAGGAAAAAACTTGTGCTGGTAAGTAATTAAACCAATCGTTACATAATCATCTATTATGTGTTCGATATAATCTCTTCTAATGTACTGTCTCGTTACTTATAGATCTCGATAAGATTAAAATTTTGAATTAGGAAATTTAGTAAGTTGTTTTCTTTTGTATGAAACTAATGATCTTCCACATGAGTTCGCTTATGGATTTGTTCATATTTAGGGTTTTCTAGTATAACGATGATATTTTTCTGTTTTATTTCATTGAATTTGGTCACAGATTGTCAATTGGGGATATGCTTTGACTTAGATATTAGAGGGGTTAATTTCAATTTCTAAATTGGCCATGGAATTTGATGTCTGCGTTGAACTTTGTATACTTCGATTCGAGTATCATGTCTTCTTGACTTTGCAGTTGTATACTTGGCAACTTTGCATTAATAACCA